TCCATCGGCAACTCATCCACCAGCACCACTTGCAATCCCATTTACATTGCGGGAACGATCCTACAGTTGCAAATCACAATGGAATTCTGTCTACCGCACATGCACGAAAAACAGTTGAAACCCCATTTACAATGCGGAACCGATCCGACCATGATCCGACCATGATCCGAGCATATCCGACCATGATCCGACCACACACGAGACCGTCTCGCCCCCGTCGCACCGCAGAGGTAGATCATCGAGGTTCGGGGACGGACTTTGTATGGAAAAACATAGGGTTTCGTGCATCTGCTATCTCTCAAAAACGCATTTCGTGCGAGACTTCCTTCAAACCTCCATCGGCAACTCCTCCACCAGCACCACTTGCAATCCCATTTACAGTGAGGGAACGATCCTAGAGTTGCAAATCACAATGGAATTCCATCTGCAACTCATCCACCAGCACCACTTGCAATCCCATTTACATTGCGGGAACGATCCTACAGTTGCAAATCACAATGGAATTCTGTCGACCGCACATGCACGAAACACAGGTGAAACCCCATTTACAATGCGGAACCGATCCGAGCATGATCCGAACATGATCCGACCACACACGAGACCGTCTCGCACCCGTCGCACCGCAGAGGTAGATCATCGAGGTTCGGGGACGGACTTTGTATGGAAAAACATAGGGTTTCGTGCATCTGCTATTTAACAAAAACGCATTTCGTGCGAGACTTCCTTCAAAACTCCATCGGCAACTCCTCCACCAGCACCACTTGCAATGCCATTTGCATTGCGGGAACGATCCTACAGTTGCAAATCACAATGGAATTCCATCGGCAACTCATCCACCAGCACCACTTGCAATCCCATTTACATTGCGGGAACGATCCTACAGTTGCAAATCACAATGGAATTCTGTCGACCGCACATGCACGAAGAGCAGGTGAAACCCCATTTAAAATGCGGAACCGATCCGAGCATGATCCGCCCATGATCCGACAACACACGAGACCGTCTCGCAACCGTCGCACCGCAGAGGTAGATCATCGAGGTTCGGGGACGGACTTTGTATGGAAAAACATAGGGTTTCGTGCATCTGCTATCTCTCAAAAACGCATTTCGTGCGAGACTTCCTTCAAAAATCCAACTTGAAGATGTCATTTACAATTAACTCTGTCCCTCACTAACTCTTTCTTTGACTAACTCTTTCCCTAACTAACTCTTTCCCGCACTAACTCTTTCTTTGACTAACTCTTTCCCTGACATTCCTCTTTCCCTCACGAACTCTTCCTTTGACTAACTCTTTCCCTGACAGTCTAAAAGTTACAATTAACTCTTTCCCTAACTAACTCTTTCCCTCTAACTCTTTCTTTGACTAACTCTTTCCCTGACATTCTAAAAGTCCGTAACACGGAAGTTTCTCCCCCTAAACTTCCTTTGATTATCATATATTTATAAGGTGTTTAATCAGCAAAATGCAAAAACTAGGTGGATGTAGTTGATAAATCATGGTTGATGGTGGATTCTTTAACCTTTTTATAGACTGGGGGTTATCTCATCCATGAGCTCAGGATCCCAACTGCATCTCCATGGTGGCGATTCACCAATGTTTGTTAGATGTGGTGATGATAGTTACAGGTATCATATTTATCTTGTAAAAACCCATCCTAATTTACATCCCCAAGTAGAGAATTCCTGTTGATATTATTGGGTTTACCACATGACCCATCTTTTCTGGCTTTGAAAACCACAGTGAAACTGGTGCCAGGCACATCAGCGGTTACACGAAGCAATCGAGTCACCGCACACAGATGTTGGGTCGTGGTGGTGTGCTCGTTGTTTAGCTATGTTTAGCTATGTTTATCAGAGTTAGATACAGGTAGATAATCACTTTAGTTGCGTTTTTATTTGGTTCATGATAGAAATCGTTGATTTCTGCAGATTCTGCAGATAGCCTGCTGCTGCTTCCAGCGTTCTGCAGCGCTCCTTAAGGCGCAACGAGGGCTACCTGAAAGCGCACCTGGGATATCATATCCAAGGTAGCGAGGTGGGACCTTACACCGTGGTGAGCCACGAAGCCTTGGGTGTGGGCGTCTTCTCCGTGGTACCTCGGATGACTCGGCCTGGGAATTCCCCTAGGGACAAAAAGATCCACCTGGGAATCCTTGGATGAATATGATGAATATGATGAATTTCTGATGCATAGTCTAATGCATAGTGTTTTTAATCAAGTTTGGAAAGTGTCCAAGATTTTTGTGCTAAGTCACTGTGGTTTTGTTGGAAGCGGGCTTTTTAAGACTCTTGATTTTCATCTTCAGATACGGAACTGAGGTGTGGCCTTGTGCAGACAAGGACAACAAGTTGGTTGCCATGAAAGTGATCCGACACCAGGAGCGACTCAAAATCCGGCGGAAGATGGGTTTTATCGGATGTTTTTCCGACGAAAGCCTATCCTTTCGGTGGCCAGGACCATTTCCGAAAGTATGCCAACAGAGAGGCCGAGACAGCTGGGTTTGTGTCTTTGAGAGAGCTGTTTGTGCAACTCATCTGCGAAATCTGATGCCCCAGCTGCAACTTGATTTCTTGAGTTTGAATCGTATTGGGATTCCGTGGAGTGCGACTCACAAAGCAAAATGATCAAGGACTTGGGAGGTTTCAATGACGTGATGCAACATAGTGAACCTATGTGAACCTCAAATCAGCTGGGGAGCCCAACACCAGGTTGAAGCACTGCAAAAAGCCGCCGGGCTCAGGGATCAGGCGGGGCGTGCCCTGGATATCATGAGGTCAGGTGATGCGATGGAAAAAAAGGCCACCATCGATCACAGGATCCCGAGAGTGCTGCCCATGTGGCCTTACTACGGGACAGCTTCGTTCACAAGGTCGGTGTGGTTGTGGCACTTGTGGCACCCGAGAAATCATGAGGGGTTCAGCGAAGATTGCTTGGCCAAATTTGCCATTTAGCCGGCAAAAAAAGTGGATGGATTGATTGTAGTGATTTTTTGTTTTCCGTAAGAAACCGAATTTGTGTTCCACATGGTTCAACTTCTTCGGCATGGCAGGCTGAGAAAATGTCGAATCGCAATTTGGGTGGTTTTTCCAATGCTGTGCTCTGGTGACCGGGCGTTGGACGTTATAGGTGAGCAGCCCTCAAGGAGACCAAGAGTATCTCTGCATGTGCTTTGAGAAGTCCCTCGGCATTGGATATCAACAGAGTAAAGACTAGAAATGGAAACAGCAAATAACATTCAGGAGAGTAGAGATCCATATTGGGATGTATAATGTGTGTGTGTATATATATATATGAGTCCGGACTCCGGATCCCTGCCCCCCCCCATGGTATGGTCCCCCAAGCTCACGCCCCCCCCCCAATGGTATGGTCCCCCAAGCTCACGCTCTCGGGAACGCGGGACACGGGACCATACATACATACATGCATGCATGCATGCATGCATCCATGCATCCATCCATCCATCCATCCATCCATACATACATACATACAGACACACACACACAGAGACAGACATACCTATCTACCTACCTACCTACATACCTACGTACCTACGTACCTACGTACCTACATACACACGCACATACATACATACATACTACCTACCTGCCTACATACATACATACATTTATACATACAAACAAACAAACAAACAACATACATACATACATACATACCAACATACCAACATACCAACATACCAACATACCAACATGCCAACATACCAACATACCAACATACCACCACCACAGGCCACAGGGGGGGGGAACCAGAAGAACCATACCAACACCACAGGCCACATGGGGGGGGACCATGGGGGGGGGAGGGGGGGGGCTTGGGAGTCCTGGGTCATATATATATATATATACGTAATATTGGGACATACACTTGGGACATACATAAGTGTTGGACATTCTCATATTTGAATGGAACGGAAGCAACAAATCTATGGGGATGTCTACGTCCTCAGAATCACCGAACGGCCGAGGTTGGAGTCCAATCTGCGGAAGATTGGGAAGCAGCCGTGGGGCGCTGAGAGCTGGTGGCTTTGCCAATTTTTTGTGACCAAAAATGGGAAAGAAAAAGTGAGTTGGGACAAGCCAGGATTGGTTGGTGGGTTGAAATAGTTCTTAGTTACATCCCTAGAAATGATGGTCCCAATTAACTGAAGTTTTTTCAAGCAGGTTGAAACCAACAACCAGAAAATCCACCAAAAAACGGTGAAGACAACCAGCAGATTGCAATGCAGTGATGATCCCCCTTGAAGCAACACATTTATGTCGCTGATCGTCATAGAAAATTCACCTCTAAGTGGTTGCCAGTTTGATTTTTCTTGCAACTATGATTTGGGAAATATATGGAAATATGCAATTCATATCCCATTGATATCCCATTAATGTCCACAATTTTGCTGACAGTTTCAAATTTCAGCACTTTTCAGATGGCTCAAAACCACTCACCGGGGCAGGCTGGAGAAAGTGCTGCAGTTTGGGAAGCAGATCATGCGCGCCTTGAGGCGGTGGTTCGATCGGCGGAATGAACCCCAATCATGTCTGGTAGTCAATATGTCAACACAGATTGATGTCAGCAGTTGACCATGTACCACTTAGACCTAGAAGGTCGTCCCAATCGCCAGATGGTGTTTCTTTTGGTGCTTAAATTGGTTCATCACCGGCCAGCATAACCATAGCTCGCCGGTCAGATATCTCCACGACGTGGTGCAAATCGTGCATTGCGATGTGAAGCCCGACAATCTCCTGCTGCGCCCGGTGCAGAGTCTGCAATCCACCAGATTCCTAGGATTCCAAAGCTGCTTTTGGTGGGAAGTGCCTCAGGTTGGGATGGTCTTGCCGTGAAGTTGATGGACTTTGGCACAGCCAGGCAGGCTGGTTCCTTTTCTTTGGACGTGGCAGAAACGGTGTGTTTTTTCCGAGAAACTGGAAGGAAAGCCCATTAGATCCAGTTTGAATAGCTCTCAAAAATTGGTTTTGTGGAAAATAGTGTGGAAAGTGGAAACCTGTATTTTAAAATTTGACTCTCTTTCCCTGTAAACTTTCCCACCAATCCATTGAAGTGCTCACTTCATACCATGGGGAATGGACCAAGGTGACCTCTCTTGATAGGAGAGAAGTGCGGATGTTGGATCTTTTCATCGGGATAGCACTCATTTTAGGGGTTATTCAGGCCGGTTAAGGCCTACACCAAGTTTGACAAACTCCTCATCGATGATTCGATGGTCCTCCCCAGGCCATCTCCTGAGCTTCAGAGCCAGGCCTGGCCACATCGCTTGTGTCCCAATGTTTCTCCATTCTTCCACGAGTCGATGTCTCAGGACGAGCTGCAACCGCTCTTCTACCGAGCTCCTGAGGCGTGCAAGTCGGGTTTCTCTGTATCGATGTGGGAAAATATATAAATGGGCTAACGCCCTGGTGCCGCCGACCCCATAGACTGTAAATGAACGAACATGAATAAATAAAGAAATAACCAGATGAATAAATACATACATACATATATATATATGACCTTCCAGCTCTAAGTGTGTCTTTTCCAATGGTGAACTGGGGCGTGTGATGAATCTGAATGTTTCAATCATGTTCAATCCTGCTGATCCCAACCAGCCGCGCTTTTCCCCCCTTTGGCTTTCCAGCAACATGTGTCGCGGAACACAATGCTGGGTTTTTTTTGTGACCCTTGGTTGCACTAAGCTGCAAGCCTCTGCAGGGTTTTTGTCCCCCTGGTTATTATTTTACTTGAGAAACTTGGCAGCTGCAGGGTGCTCAGCATATCCCATTGGACACGATCCACCTAAGATAAACCATTATGAACCGCAAGAAACTCAATAATACAACTCAAGAACATGCTTAAGGCTCAAGAGACTTGTCGAGCCTTCAAGAGAACGCTCAAGACTGAAGAAAATGCTCAAGGCTCAAGATGATTGAATGCTCTCCAAATACAGCCAGGTTGCTCCTTGCGTGCATTGTATGCCATGGTCTTGCATTCCGTTTTTGAATGTCCTGTGGCACGCTTTGCCTTTGACTCACCAGAGTAGACCTTAGCTGTGCGGAATGAAGTGGATGAACCAAATGGCTATGCACAAAAGGCTCAAATTTAGATTCATAGTTTGCTGTCAAAGGACACAATGCATCTTTGCTTTCAGACCTGCGTCCGGATCGTCCTTCTCGCAAGCTCATCTTTCTTGTTGCAAGTCTTTGCTGTTCCTTCTGCTTTCTTCTGATCCTGATCCTTCTGATGTTTCTTCTTTGGCGATGCCTTCGTTTTGGGCATTGCCTTTGCTCTGGGCAATGCCTTTGCTTTGGCCTTTGCTTTGGGCATGGCCTTTGCGGCCTTGCTCTTGGGTGCACTGCGTGCAAGTTTCTTTCCAGGCCTCTTGTCTTTCCCAGGCCCAGGCTTTATGCGCTTGCGTCGGGTGTTCTCTGGAGGATTGTCTCCAAGTGTCTCAGGCTGGGGCTCTGTCAGGCTGTCCTCCATCTCAGGTGTCACAGGCTGGGACTTAGATGGTGCCGAGCTGTCTTCCATCTTAGGCGGCATCAGGTTGGTCTCAGGCGTTGCCGGGTTGGCAAACCCAGGTGTCTCCAGCTGATTTGTCTCCTTGACTTCAGGCTGGTTCACTTCAGGCTGGGGCTCATCAGAGATCCCAGGGTCATCAAAGATCCCAGGGCTATCACAAAGCTCAGGGAAATCCCCGTCTTTTGGGCCTCTGCATGCCTCAGCAACGACATGCACCTGACATCAAAGTCCTGTCCTGACAGCCCACAAGCAAGATCTTTCTCAGCAAGGTCCCGATCCAGCAAGAGCTCCTCTTGCAGCCTCATCAATCCAAAGAACTGGTACGCAACTTCAGGCTGAACGGTAATGGGCCCTGTCTCCTCATCCTCGGGCCCCTCCATCTGCGACGCATCATGCAAAGCATCCTCCTCCTCAGCAGTGAACACAGGCCCTCGAGAAATGGATGCTAAAGTGTCTAGACAGTCAAGCATGGCAATGCAGCGATCAAGAGCTTGTTCTTGACGCCCAGAGTAGAGCTCAGTAGGAGCGACAGCGCCAGCAGCATAGTCAGGGAGGAAACATGTTTTATGTTAAGGACAGCATAGTCAGCAAAGACACACGGTGTCATGCGCACACGTGCCCTGTCTGCGCAACTGTTGTTTGGTCGTCGCAGTCGTCCGGGCGCATCGCGTGCAGGCATGACACACCATGGGGACAACGATGCCGCACCAACCAGTGGTATGTTCCCGACCAAGACGCCAAGGGTGCCAAAGAGGGGTTTGGAGGGTTTGGAGCGTTTGAAGCAACCGGCACGCTTGAACGCCAATACAAAGCTATGGCTTTGGGGTCGGTGCCTTTGCCTCCGGGGTTGGGGGTGCCAGTGTTGCCGAAGCCAGGCTTGAACGCCAATAAAATTAAAGGACCGGATAACCCCACATGTCAACTTCTTCCAACAAGCAGCAAAAGAAAGGTAAAGATAGCATAGGGGAAAGCAGGAAAGAGAAAAGAGATGGTGAAGGATTGGTGCGGAGCAAGTTGTGTGTGGAAGATTAAGTACGAGTGATTGATTTGCATCCACATAGAAGGCCAGCTAGATTCTAGATTAGATAAACAATACTGAACACACTAATCCAATAACATCAAGTCGCCTCAGACAGCGCCAGCTCTTTCGCAATAACATGCACGTATAGACCGGTATAGACCTGCGTGTCAAAGCAGCCGGCGCAGAATGCTACGTTGACATCGCTTGTTTGGGTGCGATGCAATCATATCCGATGTCCTCTCATGTCACTTCTCCGTGCAGCATGTTAAAGCTTTCAGATGTGATGTGATGTTTGCTGGCTCCAAGCGGTCGTGTCGAATTGTACTGTGCTGTTTGCTGACTCTGCTGTCGTTCTTGTATATTGTCTCATCTAAGTGTGCTGTGATGTGTGCTGGCTATGGTTTCCTTGCTGTCTGATTTCATAACATGTGACACTTCAGTCCCACATCTAACATAGAGCCCCAAAATCGAAAAGTCACAGACAACGCAGCCATCTAGTGACCGTGACCAACAGACAGCTCACTGTGCAACGCGACAGAATCAACATGCAACACTGCTAGCAATCCACCTGAAAATCTCAGGCGCTGTCGTGGCGGCTGAGCAAGCACCTCGTGGCAAGAATCACAAAGTTGCAACGAAGTTACCAACGCGTCTATGCGAAACAAAGAGAAACAACTCCAAAGACGAAAGACGAAAGCAAATCGATATCAACTACAATGAAAGTGTTGCAAAACATTTGACTACCACTTAGGTACCACCTCCGAAGGATGTGCGGCACGACGAAGACGATGCAAAAGTACCTGCCAGCGATGCGTGGCTGCGAGAAACGCAGGCAATGTCATCCATGAAAACGGAACAAAGAAAGCATTCATACTGCACCACAGAGCTACGCAAGAAACATAGTATACAAGCCTGCGTGTCAAAGCAACCGGCGCAGAATGCTACGTTGGCATCGCTTGTTTGGGTGCGATGCAATCATATCCGATGTCCTCTCATGTCACTTCTCTCAGCATGCAGCATGTGAAAGCTTTGTCAGATTGTACTGTGCTGTTTGCTGACTCTGCTGTCGTTCTTGTATATTGTCTCATCTAAGTGTGCTGTGATGCGTGCTGGCTATGGTTTCATTGCTGTCTGAGTTCATAGCATGTGACACTTCAGTCCCGCAGCTAACATAGAGCCCCAAAATCGAAAAGTCACAGACAAAGCAGCCAGCTAGTGACCAACAGACAGCTCACTGTGCAACGCGACAGAATCAACATGCAACACTGCTAGCAATAAAAAGTGCAACTTGTCGCATGTTTTGTCTCTTGATGCTGTAATCCTATTCTAACTCTTATCCTTTCACTGCTGTCGGAGTTCATGACATGTGACACTTCAGTCCCACAGCTAACATGCCACAAACCTGACATGTCACGACGGCAACACTCGATGCAGCTGCGCACACAGCACTAACCGATGCAGCTTGACTCTGCCTGTGTGCTGGTGCCCGGTGGACAAGTAGTGTGAAGACAAGTGGTGTGATGACAATTGGTGTGATGAGAAGTGGTCTGATGACAAGTTGCGTGTGAGTAAGTTGTGTGTGTACAAGTAGTGTGAAGACACAAGTGGTGTGATGACAAGTGGACAAGTTGTGTGTGGACAAGTAGTGTGAAGACAAGTTGTGTGTGGACAAGTAGTGTGAAGAGAACTGGTGTGATGACAAGGTAGATGTCACGAAGTGCCACGTCTGCCACGTGAAACGAAGGTGGATGTCTCCAAGTGCCACGGCTGCCACGCCAACAGCCGCGGCGTCCTCGGCGCCACGCCTAAAACCAAGCGCGCCACCAGAGCCAGCCCAGTGCCGCCTAAAACCAAGCGCGCCACCAGAGCCAGCCCAGTGCCATAAGTGCCACGCCTGCCACGCTCACGAAGTGCCACGCCTGCCACACAAAGTGAAGGTAGATGTCACGAAGTGCCACGCCTGCCACGCCAACAGCCACGGCAACAGCCGCGGCGTCCCCGGCGCCACGCCTAAAACCAAGCGCGCCACCAGAGCCAGCCCAGTGCCATAAGTGCCACGCCTGCCACGCAAAGTGAAGGTAGATGTCACGAAGTGCCACGCCTGCCACACAAAGTGAAGGTAGATGTCACGAAGTGCCACGCCTGCCACGCCAACAGCCGCGGCGTCCCCGGCCACGCCCTCCTAAAACCAAGCGCCACCAGAGCCAGCCCAGTGCCATAGTGCACGCCCTGCCACGCAAAGTAACAATTCCATGTCGAAGTGCACGCCTGCCACACACAATCACAGATGCCACGCCGCCACGTGAAACGTAGGATGTCTCAAAGTGCCACGGCCTGCCACGCCAAGAGCCGCGCGCGTCCCCGGCGCCACGCCTTAAAACCAAGCGCGCCACCAGAGCCAGCCCAGTGCCATAAGTGCCACGCGCTGCCTGCCACAGCCGTAGATAGTGAAGCCTGCCACGCCAGACGCGGCGTCCCAGGCGCCACGCCTTGCACCACGCCTGCCACGCAAAGTGAAGGTAGATGTCACGAAGTGCCACGCCTGCCACACAAAGTGAAGGTAGATGTCACGAAGTGCCACGCCTGCCACGCCAACCAAGCGCGCCACCAGAGCCAGCCCAGTGCCATAAGTGCCACGCCTGCCACGCAAAGTAACACTCCATGTCACGAAGTGCCACGCCTGCCACACAAAGTGAAGGTAGATGTCACGAAGTGCCACGCCTGCCACGTGATACGAAGGTGGATGTCTCCTTTGCCACGGCTGCCACGCCAACAGCCGCGGCATCCCCGGCGCCACACCTAAAACTAAGCGCGCCACCAGAGCCAGCCCAGTGCCATAAGTGCCAGGGTGGCACTGTGTGTACAAGTCGATGTCACCAAGTACCACGCCTGCCACGTGAAACGAAGGTGGATGTCTCCAAGTGCCACGGCTGCCACGCCAACAGCTGCGACGTCCCCGGCGCCACGCCTAAAACCAAGCGCGCCACCAGAGCCAGCCCAGTGCCATAAGTGCCACGCCTGCCACAGAAAGTGAAGGTAGATGTCACAAAGTGCCACGCCTGCCACGCCTGCCACGCCAACAGCCGCGGCGTCCCCGGCGCCACGCCTAAAACCAAGCGCGCCACCAGAGCCAGCCCAGTGCCATAAGTGCCACGCCTGCCACGCAAAGTGAAGGTAGATGTCACGAAGTGCCACGCCTGCCATACAAAGTGAAGGTTGATGTCACGAAGTGCCACGCCTGTTGTGAGTCAGTTGTGTGTGGACAATTTGTGTGTAAACAAGTTGTGTGTGAGTAAGTTGTGTGTGAGTAAGTTGTATGTGAGTAAGTTGTGTGTGAGTAAGTTGTGTGTGTGTGTGCAAGTTGTGTGTGAGTAAGGTGTGTGTGTGACCAAGTTGTGTGTGTGTGTGTGCGTGCAAGTTGTGTGTGTGTGTGTGAGTAAGTTGTGTGTGTGTGTGTGCAAGTTGTATGTGAGTAAGTTGTGTGTGAGTAAGTTGTGTGTGTGAGTAAGTTATGTGTGTGTGTGAGTAAGTTGTGTGTGTGCAAGTTGTGTGTGAGTAAGTCGTGTGTGAGCAGGTTGTATGTGTGCGTGTGCAAGTTGTGTGTGAGTAAGTCGTGTGTGAGCAGGTGGATGTCTCAAAGTGCCACGCCCGCCACGCAATCGCCAAGTGCCACGCCTGCCACGCAAAAAGTATGCAAGTTGTGTGTGAGTAAGTTGTGTGTGTGTGTGCAAGTTGTGTGTGAGTAAGTTGTGTGTGAGTAAGTTGTGTGTGAGTAAGTTGTGTGTGATTAAGTTGTGTGTGTGTGTGCAAGTTGTGTGTGAGTAAGTTGTGTGTTGGCAAGTTGTGTGTGTGTGTGCAAGTTGTGAGTGAGTAAGTTGTGTTTGTAAGTAAGTTGTGTGTGAGCAAGTTGTGTGTGAGGAGGTGACGGGAGCGGGAGGAGGCGGAGCGAGAGGAGGCGGACGGGATGCAGAACCAAAAACAAGAACCCCACACAAAGATGTGGGGAAAAAGCTATTGATGGGGCCCTGGTGCCTTTGCCTGCGGGGTTGGGGGTGCCAAAACGGCCTTTGGAGTGTTTGGAGGGTTTGACGCCTGGCAAACGGCAGGCTTGAACGCCAATAATGCTATTGATGTGGCCTTGGTGTCTTTGCCTGCGGGGTTGGGAAGCCAAAAACGCGTTTGGAAGGTTTGAGGCCTGGCAAACGACACGCTTGCACGTGATTAAAAGGCGTTTGGAGCGTTTGGAGGCTGGCTTTGGTGTCTTTGCTTGTGGGGTTGGGGGTGCCAAAAAAGCGTTTGGAGCGTTTAGAGGGTTTGAGGCCTGGCAAACGGCAGGCTTGAACGCCAAGAAACAGCTATTGATGTGGCCTTGGTGTCTTTGCCTGCGGGGTTGGGGTGCCAAAAAGGTGTTTGGAGCGTTTGGAGAGGGCTTGGTGTCTTTGCCTGCGGGGTTGGGGGTGCCAAAAAAGCGTTTGGAGCGTTTGGAGGGTTTGAGGCCTGGCAAACAGCACGCTTGAATGCCAATAAAAAGCTATTGATGTGGCCTTGGTGTCTTTGCCTGCGGGGTTGGGGTGCCAAAAAGGTGTTTGGAGCGTTTGGAGAGGGCTTGGTGTCTTTGCCTGCGGGGTTGGGGGTGCCAAAAAAGCGTTTGGAGGGTTTGAGGCCTGGCAAACAGTACGCTTGAATGCCAATAAAAAGCTATTGATGTGCCCTTGGTGTCTTTGCCTGCGGGGTTGGGGTTGCCAAAAAGGCGCCCTGGCAAACGGCACACTTGAACGCGAATAAAAAGCTATTGGTGGGGCCCTGGTGCCTTTGCCTGCAGGGTTGGGGGTGCCAAAAACGCGTTTGGCAAACGGCAGGCTTGAACGTCAAGAAAAAGCTATTGATGGGGCCTTGGTGCCTTTGCGTGCGGGGTTGGGGGTGCCAAAAAGGCGTTTGGAGCGTTTGGAGGGTTTGAGGCCTGGCAAACGGCAGGCGTGAACGCCAATAAAAAGCTATTGATGGGCCCTGGTGCCTTTGCCTGCAAGGTTAGGGGTGCCAAAAAGGCGTTTGGAGGGTTTGGAGGGTTTGGAAGGTTTGAGGCCTGGCAAACGGAGGCGTGAACGCCAGTGCCAAAAGGCATTTGGAGCGTTTGTAGGGTGGCTTGCCTGGCAAAACGGCAGGCTTGAACGCCAAGAAAAAGCTATTGATGTGGCCTTGGTGTCTTCGCATGCGGGTTTGGGGGTGCCAAAAAGGCGTCCTGGCAAACGGCACGCTTGAACGCGAATAAAAAGCTATTGAGGGGGCCCTGGTGCCTTTGCCTGCAGGGTTGGGGGTGCCAAAAAGGCGTTTGGAGCGTTTGGAGGGTTTGAGGCCTGGCAAACAGCAGGCGTGAATAAAAAGCTATTGATGGGGCCCTGGTGTTTGCCTGCGGGGTTGGGGTTGCCAAAAAGGCGTCCTGGAACGCCAATAAAAAGCGATTGCTGGGGCCCTGGTGCCTTTGCTTGCGGGGTTGGGGGTGCCAAAAAGGCATTTGGAGCGTTTGGAGGATTTTAGGCCTGGCAAACGGCAGGCGTGAACGCCAAGAAAAAGCTATTGATGTGGCCTTGGTGGCTTTGCCTGCGGGGTTGGGGGTGCCAACCTGGTCAGTGCGCACTGCTGGACCTCAACCTGGGACCTTCCCAGCTCAGTGCGCACCGCTGGACCTCAACCTGGGACCTTCCCAGCTCAGTGCGCACCGCTGGACCTCAACGGCCAGAGAGAATGCCAGAAGATATGCCAGATAGAATGTCAGATAGAATGCCAGAAGATATGCCAGGTAAAATGCCAGATAGAATGCCAGATGGAATGCCAGAAGATATGCCAGAATGTTTGCCAGATAGAATGCCAGAAGATTTGCCAGTAACAAAACGTATAGATGTCATGGTGGGGATAACTCGAAGTAAAGTAATTGATGTGCTTCGGTCCTTTTCAGAATTTCACTTTGGCACCATTGCACTTCATGACTTTTTTCGGTCTTCATGCTGTTTGACTTCGTCACCCAACGTCCCCCCTGTGGCCATTCGTGTTGTGCTGGCGAGGCGCCGAAGTCTTCAATCCTGGGCCACGGCGCCTTCGGCGACGTGGAGAGGCGAGTGGACCACCAGGGGAATCAGTTTGCCTGTAAGAAGATCTCAGGTGCAGTTGTGCAGCACCGAGGGATGGAGCATGCAGTGCAAGCCGAGATTAACTCACTGCAGGTTTGCCAGGGCTCCAGGTTTGTGGTGGACTTCTTCCACCACTTCGTCGCAGCAGGTGACACTGGTGTTTGAGCTCCTGGATGACCTGGTTGAGGCGTACGTCCACCGGAAGCTTTTTGGCAACCTCGCCTACGTCCGTTTGCACTTGGCTTGTGTGGCCATGGGCCTGTCGCGCATTCGCGAGAAGAACGTCCTTCACAGAGACATCAAGCCGGCCAACCTCCTCCTCAAAAAGACGAGTGGCCAGCGCAAGATTGCCGACTTTGGCCATGCCAAAATAACATTCAATGGGCGATCTTCTTCGCAAGTCGGTACTCCGAACTACATGGCTCCTGAAGTCGTTAAGGGGAGGGCTCACGGCAAAGAAGTGGACTACTGGTCCCTTGGATGCGTCCTGTTTGAACTTTGCACTGGCGAGCTTCTATTCACAGGCTCGCCAAGCGAAGCATTCTCGGCGATCATGGCAGAGATTCCCACCAGCACCTTGCACAAAGCGCAGGCCCTTTCTGTGAGTTTGCGGGCGGGACTGGGCCCCAACTGCCTCCAAACAAACACCATGATACCCTCAAGAGGGCTGCTCAGTACAACATGGTATTACCATGCAGTGTCACTCTTATCATTCTTGTTGTTATTGTCGGGTTTCACTGCTGGGGTGGCGGGCTCCATGAGGAAGGGGGCATTCCCCATGATCACTGTGCATGTGTCGGTGAATGGTTTCCGGCCGGCTATGCAGAGGCCCAGTGGGCGCCAGTTGGCAGTTTGTGCAGCTCCGTTCTGTTTCATGCCTTTCCCCATAACAACCCGCATGGCCTCCTTGCCGGGCTTCGCGCATGCCACGTGAGGCGGCCAAGCATTTGATTGAAGCTTTGTGTCACCATCATCATGATCATCATCGTCATCATCGTCGTCATCATCATCATCATGATGATCATCATCATTATCATGATCATCATGGTCATCATCTTCATCATCATCATGATCATCAGCATAACTATCATTTATCAAAAAGCTCATCATCACTATCCTCGCGGGAAAGAATGAAAAAACAAATAATCCAACTTATCTACTGCATCCATTCCAAAACCATAACAGCACAAATGGCTCAAGATTGGTATTTCATGTTCATCCGTGTACCTTGAAACCTCAATCAACTCATTAAAGTGGCAAAGCTGCCATGAACTTCAGTCAGGTTTGCGCCCAGAAAATCGCAAAACGAATCTACGGTATTGGTCTTCCAATGTTTCAATTTGTTTCACTTCCTAAGTGCATCATAACTTGATGTAATTAGTGTTGCTGAAATTCTTGATACAATGATGCTCTTGGCATTTCAACTTTGTACACGCAGGGGAATTATTCAACATATCAGCAGCATAATTTAAGATAACATCCCAAACCAATTGCCAATGCCATTGTCTTTTGACACAATCAATCATTATTGCATTCTTCACATCTAGGATTACTCGCAATGTATTGAGTAAGTTCATCGGAAAATGAACTAAACACACTTTCAGTGAAAGAACCGGTTTTGGCACACCCGCCCCAAACTACAACAGTACACTTTCTCACGCGTATAGATGCTTATGACATGCTGTTTTGCTTCAACTCTTCAATACTCACCGTGCCATATTTGTCATAATCATTGCTTGTATCACTCATTATGCATCACTCATTCAGGAACTAAAAAATTCGATTCTTCCTCCAAAATTGGAAGGTGCAGAGCTGGCAACGAAGCAATTGTGCGTGAAATTAAGTGATGAAAATGAAGTGATGTCCTCCGTTTTTGCAGTGGTGGCTGCACACCTTGCGGCTCCGCACCATTACAGTTTGCGATTTTTCCATCTCAAGTGTTGAAAGTGCTGCGCCAGCCAGAAAAATTGAAGCCAAGACACATGAAGTGCTGTACCTGCCACGCGAAATGAATGCCAAAGCCTAGACATTAGAACTTGAAAAATGGAATCCCCCTCAGGAAATGAGCGCGCAGACAGACAGCTCAACATGAGTCTGTCAAAGCTTCGGCGCGCTGCCCCTGCGCCACAAAAATGTACTTTCGGAGAAAATCTTCAAATGCCCTGCGCCTGCCAACATCTTCAAACGTCTCCACAATGCTAGGTTTTGTGGGTTTTCGCTACTTTTTGCAACAGTAGAATGAAGTCCTTTGCGCCTGCCACGCGAAACTCACTTTTGACCTTGAAAAGTGGTCCGAGCATGTGGTAATTTTACCCTTTTAACTTGCAAACCGCATTCCTGCCACAACAGCGCGCAAATTTGGGACATCTCAGCTTCCAAAAGTGGCTCGGCGGTGAAGGTTTTTAGGCTTTTGACTTGCAAATCAGCTTCGCGGCACAACCACCTCCAATTTTTCATCGAGCTTTTCGGGCCGACCCCTTCGCACCCACGGCTTTAGCGCGCTAACTCTTGGACCATCCCCAGTCACAAAACATTGGTAACACACCCAGTGTTTCAGTGTATTTGGCGACTTGTTTGCTTTTCTCGCACGTGCACATCTCCTGACTATCACTTCAAAGACTGAGACTGCATCTTGCTATAAGTCGGAAGTTGGGCGTCAAAACTTCCTTCGGTAAGGCAGATAGAATGTCAGAAGGTATGCCAAATAGGAAGCCATATGCCATGGCGGGGATCATTGGAAGTAAAGTATATTTCATGCTTGTTTGCACCCTTTGCTGCCATTTGGACGATGACGGCATCTCAGGAGCCACCTTTCCCTCCTTTGAGGTCCCGGGTTGCGCCGGTGGATTTCGCTACTTTTGACTTTCTGATTACTCTGGAAGCCTTCAGCCAGAGAGAGGTTCAAGGGGACTCCTTCTTAGATCCTAGCCATCTCGAGCCCTGCTTAGAAGTAGGCCGGAAGATGCAGGAGGAGAAGAAGGAGAGCCGGTGTGAATTCCAGGAGCTACTGGCAGCTTCCTTCGATCAGTGGCACCCTTGCTACGTGTACCTGAAGCGCGCTCTAGACATCCCCGTCAACAACATGATGGCACACCTTCCAACCTCTGAGCCCTGCTTGGTCAATGTGGAAGAGCTCCTGAGTTTCCAGGAGAAAGCCCAGCGCCAAGACGAACACTGGAGCCTTTGGCGTTGGTTCTGGGACTTGCTGCCATTTTGATTGTGACTGCGCCAGCTTGGTTTCACCATATTGCGTTCCAAATCAACAAATGTTTGGCGCGCAGCGTGCAAATATGCACGGCCCTGTGCCAAAGTAGCGGGGTGCAGCTAGCAGAAAACCGGCAATTCCACCTTGCGCATTCCTCAAGGCAGTTTTACTTCACCCCCTGCACATAACAACCAACAGTTTGCAGCGACGGATCGGTTGGGAATGGTTTTGGTGCGCGAATTTATTATGACCGACCATGCGCATACAACGGATTGATCATGTCGATGGAAATTGATGGTGGCTATTGGGCTGGTTGTCGCGGGGTAAAGAACACCACATGGAAACTAGATGGTACACAGTGAAACCGCTCAATCAACCAAAATTAGCCTATATCAACCTGCATGCGTCAACCTACTGTAAGTCAATCCTAAGTCAATTGCAAAGCCAGTTCTGCAGACCAAGACCGCCGAGGAGCCGCAACCTCGGGGTGACTTGGAGACCTGAAGAGGTCGGCGCATGGAAACACAGGCAGTGAGAGTCCATGCCATTGTGGGGTACGGCGTAATTTAATATATTTCCTCAAGTGTCAGGCGTTCAAACAGTCCAAGGAGTTTCGGCGTGTTTTGCCAGTCTTGGAATGTACATGCACATGTGTAGATATATAAGACAATCGCTGCGCATTATCTCATCATATTGGTTGAAACCATGCGCATTCAACACATGCAACAATCTCACATCAACTGTGCCAAGCACATTAGATGTCTAGCATTTCAGTGTTTGTGCATCAAATGCGTGGATTTGTACCCATGATATTTACGTTGCTTTTTGTCAACATTGCGCACTCATTGGGTGTTATTCACATGCATGTTCGGCATATTTATGCTTCACATCTGCACGTTCCAATTGGCAATGCGGCAAGGTACAGCATTGTATGGAATTTGTATGGTATGGCATGGCCCTCCACGCCTCTCCAGTAGCAGGTTCAACGATCCTCGCAGTGGAGAGCATCCATGGGAATCGGCACAAGATGGTTCATAGTACATACACATCATGCATGATATCATATGGCTGAATCTTGAGTGAATCATTTCGGGGTAGTCTCAGAATACATGGCACATATCGGTAACATAGACTAGGCCGATGGAGTGGTAAT